CCTTGTTCGCACCCCCCCCCCCCCCGAGAACTAATGTTTGGGTAAAATTCGCTAGATTTTGGTACCTGGCTGTGTATTCGCTGGGAAAGGACCCCTTGCATGCTTTCATTTTAGCAGAGCGTTCGGGTATTTTAGGGTCTAGTGTTCGCCAAAGCGGTTCTCCTTTCGAAACCTCAGCAATGCACATTGAAAGCTAAAGTTTCACCCTCCTCCCAATCTGGAGAGCCTTTGTCACGTCAAATTAGATGTGCAAGGAATAAATCTTAAAGAGATGCTCTTTGCAAGTCGACATGATAATTGGCTCTTTTATTAGTAATCTCAAGAGTTCGTTTAACTCCTATTGTCTCTATTAGCCTCCCCAGAGCTATTAATGTCACAAGTGATCTATCCAAAACCTAGATATTCCCCCCTCCTCGCTCCACCCTTTAACATTTGGATTAGGCCCTCTAAAGTGAGAATGCGAAGAGAAAGGGCGGGTTGGAGCAAGGGGAATACACAGATGATGACAAAAGAGTAAATATTTATAGTGTAGTCGGGTTGGAACGTGAATACAGCATCCCTCGCATGCAAGTAAGGCTGTCCTTATTTTTCATTTATGTTTAGCCAAGCTGGGAAATGCACGGGGGCTTGAAGAGTTCTGCTCTGGTCTTGGATGTCTTCTAACAATGCCCCAGATCCTTCCGTCTTTGTGGGAAAGAAGGAGGCTAAAAGAGATGAGGAATGTCAGGGAAATCGTTTTTCATTTGGGGAAGAAGCTCTGTAAAGAACGAGGTAGAGACTTTTCAGCTTCCACCTCCTTGTTTTAGTTAGGGTGCGTTTTCCTTATTTAAACAAAGGACTGAGCTGTCACTTTATTTTGATGATGAAAGGGTCGCTTCTTGATTCCGTTTGCCACGGCAAAAAGCTGCAAAAGAGGGGCTGCGAGCGGCCAACCCAATTAGTCTGAAACAGTTCAGTTAAAGATACTGTGATTATTTTAAACCAAACTGCTATGTGGATTGAAGGGCAGGCATGTAACTCCTTCCAAACAGGGATGCCCGCCCTTCAATCCACATGGCAGTTTGGTTTAAAATAATCCTAATTTTTTCCCACCAATTTTTTTAAAAAATTGAACCTAGAAATATGTTGCCACCTTCAGCATGCTAAATGTTCCTATGACTGAGTGCTTCACTGCACTCATTTGGCTAGAGGTTCCAGGGAAACCCATAGGATCTCAGTGCTCATGGACCCCCTCTAGGACAGAAGTGGCTGTTCCTTGTAAGCCCCGCCCCTTCCCCAAATATGCAGCTTCACACGATCCCAGTTTTAGATTGGTCCTTCAGGGCGGGAGGTGGGCGACCGACCAACCAACCAACCCACCCAGACACTAGTTTTGTTTGTGTCTCTCTGCCCTGTGCCAGCTTCTTTGGAAAAGCTTGAATTTAGTTGAAGAAATACCCATTATACGTTTGGACGGACCAGACGGTCAAGCCAAAGACGCAACACCCCCCCCTCCTTGGGCTTTTCCTTTCCTCCCTCCCTCCTCCCTCCTCCACCATCTCGTAAAAAAGTTGGGATATAAAAACTTGGTATGTTCTGGAAAGATCATCTTTGGCCGAATCAGGTGGTGGTAGAGCTGTTTCCCCCCCCCCTGCTTATTCTGCTGGCCTTGGAAGAGCAGAAAAGAGAAGCCTGGGGTTTCTGTCGCCATCCCCACCGCTTCTCTTCTTCTCCAAGGCATAAGGCGCGGGGTGGAGAAAACGGCACAGTCTGAGCTTTGGCAAAAAGCCTCTCTCAGTTCTTAGCCTTCGGGGCAAAAGCGGGTGTGTGTATGTGTGTGGTGGGGGAGGATTTGGAGAGCTGAAAGAGAAAAGAGTGGCGGGGGGAAGAGACAGACAATGAGAAGCACGGATGAAGAGAAAGAAAGGCCAGCCTTGGGGATTTAAGCACGAAGAGGTTCAGGGGGGCAGGACTGGAGGTGCTCCCATTATAGGCTGCATCCCAGCAATGTTCTCCTTCGGTCACCATGCCCGGCTTGTGTCGTTCTCCTCTAACCCCCCCCACCTCACCCCAAGTTCTGCCACCTCCGAGTCGCCTCCCCTCTGGTCTCCCGAGCCTGTCCCTTCTCCCTTCGCGGTCGCTCTCCTTTCCCACCCCGAGGCTCCCGGGCCAGCTGCTAAAGCCCCCCCTCCGCATTTGTGCACTAACGCCGCCTCTGCCTTCCCTCGGCCTCCCTTCTCCCCTCTCCCCGACTCTGCAGGCCCCGTGTCCCTCTCCAAGTCTAACGCCAACGCCGTCTCCTCCATCCCCATCAACAAGGACACGCTCTTCGGCGGCGTGGTGAACCCCAACGAGGTCTTCTGCTCGGTGCCCGGCCGCCTCTCCCTTCTCAGCTCCACCTCCAAGTACAAGGTCACCGTGGCGGAAGTGCAGAGGCGCCTGTCGCCGCCGGAGTGCCTCAACGCGTCTCTGCTGGGCGGAGTGCTTCGGAGGTGAGGGAGAGAGAGAGCCATTCCCAAGGGAGCCCGGCAGGGGCGGGTGGGCATAGTCGCTCCATCTGAACACCTCCCGCCCCGCGGGCGCGTGTCACAGCAGTGTGGTGCTTTTTTTTTTTGGAGGGAAGGAAGCCCATTGGAAGGGGCCGCCAGGCCCAGCCAATCAGTCACACGCTTCGGAAAAGGAGGCGTTTCTTCCCAGGTCTATCTTTTCATCCCGCGCGGGATCTCTAGATAGACAAACCAGCCAGAGGTTGCATGTGGTTCGAAGCAAAAGAAAAAGCATCCTTGATAGGCATACTTCCGTATTCATTATGACTTGCTATGTCCCAAGGTTTAAACTTAGTATTAAAAATAGGATCTGGCACCTTGTTATACTAAAGCATTGCTTGACAGTAATTTCAGATACATTTCAATGTATTTGCCTCTTCTGTATCCTGGTGACCCATCTTCTAGGCTATTTCCCCCCCTTGAAATAAAGAGGAATTGATCACCCTTTCCAAGTACTTTTTTTGTGTAAAATTCTAGAGAAACATACTGGACAGGATTGCAATGCCACCTAATAGACAGAACTCTTGTTGCCTCGCTGTGATCCTCAACGTCCAGTGTCCCTAGTTTTAATATGTGCTCAGAGTTAATATTTATTTAGGCATAATGGTTGTGAAGGGTTAGCTCTTTTGTGAAGGTGAAGGTTATAAGGGAACACAAGGGACTCCTCTCTAAGCTCAATACACTCCAGCTTCTTGGGAAATTTTTGAGAACCTTAACTCTAGAATATGATTTTAAAGCAAAGCACAGTGACCTAGGTATCTCCAACAATCAATCTGGCTTCACTGTAGCTTTCAGCCAACTCAGCTTGAAACTCCTGCATGCAAGTTCCAGCTCTACTAATTCAGTAGGGAATTTTTACCAATCCGCTTACCCTCAAAATTAATTTTGCATTTGAAAAAAACATAAGTTCTGAACCTCATTTCACAGGGCTATTAGTGGCATCATTATGTGAACTCTACATATTTACTGAAAATTCATAAATGATTAATATTATTTATTTATTTAATTTATATCCCGCCCATCTAGACCGAAGTCTACTCTAGGCGGCTAACAACACTCAAGAATAATAAAAAAAGAAAACAACAACATTAATACAATTAAAAATAGAAAATAAATTAGATACTGACAGGAGGGAAGGCCTGCCTAAAGAGCCAGGTCTTGAGCTGGCTCTTAAAAACACCCAGCGAGGGACCCAGACAAATTTCTGGGGGGAGATTGTTCCAGAAGCGAGGAGCCACTGCTGAGAAGGCCCACTTACTTGTTCTTTCTCTTCAGGCCTCCCTCGGCGTTAGGCCCCTCAGCTTTCCATCTTGACTAAAGTGAGTGATTCGGGTAGATCTAGGTGGGAGGAAGCGTTCTGCCAGATATCAAGATCCTAAACCATTTAGGGCTTTATATGTCATCATTAGTACTTTGAAATCAATGTGGAGACGAAAGGGCAGACAGAGTAGGGGAGATTTGTTGATGCTTTCTCACCCCAGTAAGAAGTCTGGCCACTGCATTCTGCAACATTTGAAGCTTTTGCATCAGTCTCAAAGGTAGCCCCACATAGAGTGCATTACAGTAGTCTAATCTCGAGACTACAAGCGCATGGACAAGAGGAGTGAGGGCCCCCACATCAAGATAGAAATGCAGCTGGGCAATCCACTGAAGATGGAAATAGGTGGTAGTATCTTTATTAGTTAGCTATTTTGCCTTTGTTTTTTAACTGTAGTCTATGCTATTATTATATTGCATAAACTCATATCTGTGCATAGCTTTGGTTGTTAAAAGCAGGCAGTGCATGCTACCCATGAACACATATGTGTTTAGTCACTCTTGGCAGACATGGGAAGAAACAATTGCTTCTCAACATAGCAAGTCACACATTTTTAGCAAGGCATCTTGCAAGCTAACACACACCAGCTGAGGGCACTGCCAGCATTGCTTTACTGAAGAAGGCCACCGGCTAGGCTCCAATATGCCAATTGTGCACATTTTATTCTAGCTGGGTAGAGGGATACAATAAAGTAAAATTTAAAAGAAAACCACACCTACGTCGGCAAAAGAGTTGGTTTCTCTTCAGTTCAATCTTGAAGAGCAAACTGAATGCAGTTTCCATAATGAAAGACAAATTATGACCCTTGACTATTGTGAATTATGCTAGTTAATAATGCAAGAAGGTCTGGCTAAAACAAGTCCCCACTGGATCACTGATGAGTAAAAACACTAATAGTGGTTATGTCATCAATCGCAATATGTGAGAACTTGTTATAACCCTTGTAAAAAATATCTGGTACCCATACATGGATTCCAGTGGATACAATAAGAACATAATGGGCTTAACTTTTGCTGTTTCATCTCCATAGTAATTTCAGACACAAAGAAATATTTCAGTACACTTTCCTGTTTTGCATTTAATTGTACCTTCATGGCATATCTTCCACGCTTAATATGTCCTGGAATGAAATTTCATTGAATATCCTTTATGTAATAAGAATGTGTAAAGTAGCTTTGGAGGAAAACATCTGAAAGAATTGCAATATGATTTTCTAGATACTAGCCATGTGTTAAGTGTTGTTTTTCTTTTAATGTGTGGAACAGGGCAAAATCAAAAAATGGAGGGAGATCTTTGAGGGAAAAACTGGACAAAATAGGATTAAATTTGCCAGCCGGGAGACGTAAAGCTGCTAATGTTACCCTGCTGACATCACTAGTGGAAGGTAAGCGATGGCTTTGAGTTTGGCAGTGGGAAGGGCATGCTTTAAGAAATATGTGTTTTATTTTGTTGTCTGAACAAAATAAGAACCTTTTGGAGACTTGTGGTGAAATATTTATGGACATTTTAAAATTCAAATTTCTATGTCTGAAGAGAATATTCCTTTTGACCTTGTATTTTGCTCTTTTTGAAAAAAGGGGAATCGAAACTGTCAACCCAGTCAAAAAACCATTCATAGCCAAATAACTGGAAATATACTCTTCTGAAATTAGTTTGGACTTAAACCCTTGTAATGCATTTAGGATCTGTATGCTAAGTTTCAGTAAAGTACTTTGAAGTAAATTGGCTTAGATTCTAAAACTTCACCCTAACTGGGTTGCTTGCTGGTTGTTCATTTGTCTCAAAAAGTAGGGCTAAAACATTGATCGAGTCAGCGTAATTAATGGATTAATTTATTAATCACTGATTGACATGGTGGATTTTAATTGGATTTTAATCAGCGCAGTCCCCAATGAAAGTGGCATAGTTATGTGTATATATCTTGATTCAGACACTAGGGGTTGGATTGTGATGATTTTCTAAACAATATACACGTTCGCAAGGATACTTATTTAAAAAATCTGCTTCTTGTCAGAATAACTGCAACTTTTACCTGATTAATGAATTGATTGATTACATCGAATAGTAATTGGATGGTGGTTCACAAACAGGTTTAAACTAGAGTATTTGGGGCCTAACCTGATTGGTAGAATCATACTCTAGTTATATTTACACATGTTTGGGACATTTATTGCAATGTGATGGGGGCTGCTCTCTAAGGCTGGAATTTTGCTCATACAGACCTGGAAGAAAATCCAGTGAATTCGGAGAAGGTTGCTTATGAGTAGGCATGCATAAGACTATGTTTTAAATATGTTTTCTTGTTTAACTTTAATGGTTTTTAGTATTAATAAATAAATTCTATAGACTCACATGTTGGTCTACCCCAAATATTTCAGTTACATTGAATTCTGCATTGTAGATCCAGCTTTGCATCTTGTTGAATCCATTCTGACTTAAAATCATGTTAAATTTTAGAGGTAAATCTAGTGTTAGATCTTGTTACACTGGATCTTTGGAAGTGAATGGAACTTGCTAATCACAATTACGTTAATTCCCACTGATAGTGGTAGATCTACTCTAGATAGGGCTAATACTGGATTTAGCCCATTGTTTTAACTAGTTTGTGAATAAGGCTGGCAATTAAGTACACATTGTACTCACTGCCATATACAGAACAAAGTGCCTGTTACTGGAGATCCATAGCACTGCATATAAGACATATGCTTCCATGCTGCTGTGCAAGCATATATCTGGTATGCTTACACAGACTAACATGACTACTCTTTTGAAACCTACAACTATGAATGGCCATGCATTAGTCTGGCTGTCTTCAGTGGACCTAAAGGAGCTCAAAATTACTCCTGAGCATTTAAGACAGGAGAAGCTATGGTCCTCCACATGTTGTTAAACTGTAATTCCTATTATCTTTTCCCATGCTGTGTAGGACTGATAGGAGCTGTAGTCCAATAACATCTGGGGCAATTTTCATTCCTTGCTTTTGGTGTAAGTGTTATGTGTGTAACAATCTAGATCCATGACAATCATTCAGAATGGTGTGGTAGGGTAGGAAGAACTCCATATTTCCTGTTTATATGAGTAAACATGTACATAAAGGATGCTGAAATGAAAGAGAAATGTTAATAGATTGCATGAATAGTTGGACATTGTCAGTCCACATACATTTCCTTGTGTTGTTGCTCTATCATAAATGAAGACTTTGGAGAGGATAAATACAGAGCTGGACATAACAAATACATACACAAACACATGACAGACTTCCTTGGCCTGGCCAGTAGTGGGGGCAGTGCTATTGTTAGGTTCTAACAGATTGCTTCTGACATTCTAAATAAATGGGGTACATCAAAACATTTAAAATAAATGGAATCATAATTTTTCACCAAGGAGAACCAATCTTTCCCAATGGTCATGCAAAAGGGCGCCTGCCATTACAAGCAATTTGTGTGTAATGTTCAAATAAATATTCTCACTTCTGTGAGAGGATGGGGATTAGTGGGAGGGAAGATTCTTGTTTAGAAACAAAAACACTGAAGACTCCTATGACACCTTAAAGACTAACAATTTTTCTTTAGTATAAGCTTTCATAGACTACCTCAAATCCATATACTGTACAGTATCTGATGAAGAATGTTGCAGTCCCTGAAAGCTTATGCAAATGAAACTTGCTAGTGCCTTTGTGTTTTTTTTTCCCTATAGCAGACTAACATACTTACCCATCTCTCTTGAAAGTGTGATCAGGGTCAGCTTTAATTTTTGGGTAGCATGTAAGAAATATACTACATTAATATGATCTAACCATCACCCTAGGAAACCATCTATTTGAACAAACCATGCAGTCCCCAACATCCTATTCTGTAATCACTGAGGAGTCTGTTTTATACTTCAGGTATTTGTAGCTACCCAAAGATAGGGTTGCTGCTTTCAGCTACATAACAGTAAATCATTTATGTTATTCTGACATCTGCATTTGAGAAATGCATGACCATTACTTCCTGAATGAGTTTGGGAATCCTTGACCTCAGTCACGATTTAATGGTGTCCTGAAAGCCTTGCAGCCAAGCTCCTGAACTCCCCTTTTGTTCTCCTTCATTGCAGAATATGGGGCACCTTCTTTGATAACATGTACTATTTTTACTGGAAGGGTGGTGGAGAAGTGGGAATGCACATGCTATTTTTGTTTTAAGGAGAAAGTTGGCAGAATCTTCCATTTGATCACTTGTTTTTCAATGGGGAAAGAAATGCAATGGTCAGGTTTTAAAGAGGGGTGTTTTGCCCCAGCTGTTGACAAAAGGAAGCTGATGTAGGTATAGACTCATGCTGTCTTTCTTCTCCAGCTTTTAATTTTTGAGGTCTTTAACCCTTGTTTTGGTTGCTGTCTGTGGAGTGATATTTAAGCTGTTTTGGATTTCCGGGTTGGCTGTGGCTTTGGTTGGAATCAGCTAATCATTTTCTTTGCTTTATGTCCTGTTTTCTTTTTCTTTTCTTAACAAAAATATTTAGAGATGTATATAAGAGAACCTAAAGCATTTAAAGAATGTTAGCCATAATGGAGAGAGTATCAGAGAAAATTTGCTTGTCACTAGGAACTAAAATATACTTATACAGTATGAGGAACTGAAGTGTAACAAAGCAAAGGGACGTTTAGCGTCAGCTGAAAGGGGTCAAAAAGCAATACTAAACTGGAGAGGAAAAAATGAAACAGAGGGAAAACTGTCCCTTACAAAAACATTTAGAGAGGAGAGTAAGTCAGTGAATACAAATGTTATTACAATCTTAAGTAATATGTAGACAGTTTAATGCGATCTAAAGGAGTACTTTTTTAAAAAAAATGTTTGATTTTTTTAAATGGCCAAGGTTTGATCCACATATATTAGAGCAGCAAGAAAAGAAAGAAAATAAAAGAGTAAGAACTAATGTGCAGATAAACTGATAATAGTGGTTAATTCCCCCCCACCCACTCACCCACCCACCCAAAGATAATACATAGTTGTTTTGGCTGTGGGTCCCTGTGCGATGAGGCAGTTTCCAAAGTACTGTTATTGTTTATGATCCGCTCCATTTTATGGAAACAAGCTCACTGGACTGAGGCTTTGAAGCTCTAATTGGCGCATGCGTTCTTCCGGACCTAGAGCTAATGGCAGGAAGCCCTGCGGTAAAAACCAACTGGTTCAGGAAATTAAAACCAAAGATTTGAAAATCAACAAAACAGACAGACTCAGTGGAATGACCCTAAAATTCTTATGGTTAATCGTTTGAAAGGGGGGTGGAAGTGAAGGAGGGAAGGATGAACAATTATATGCGATCAAGTTAAATTTAAAACACTTAACCATTTAATGTGGTCCATTAACAGGAGTTATAGAAGTAATTATGATCAATAATCAATATTAATCTATTGTATATGCCACAAGAAAGAAAAGAGTAAATATGTATTTAGTAGAGTGTGTTTTTTCATATATAGGCATAATTTGTTAATATTTGTGTGTAAGACTTGTAGTGGTATCCCAAATTATAATTTTAATTTAGAGAATAGAATAGAGTACTCTGAATAATTTTAGAGGTTTGTTGGGTAAAATGCCTTGATATATTGCTTTATAGGGCTGAAAGCATGACTTCGTTGGTGTAGTGTAACTCCCCTTTCCCAAAAGCAAAATTTAAAAGGTTTTAATCAGATCTGCTGACCCAGAGGAGGCAGTTTTGTGCTGGTGTCGTTATATAAAGTGTCCATTGCTTGAGACTAAACAATGTACACACACACACACACACACACACACACACACACACACACACAAACACACAAGACACAAGAACTTATTTTGTTACCTTCAGGAAACACACACAAAGCCTCTCTTGCACTGAGATATTGTTATGTTTCTAGCAGTTATTTTGATGCATCTCATTTCAAGTTCATCAAAGGATCCCCCCCCCCCAATCCTTGTTTATGGATTGTAAATGCATGAGTGTTTTTAAGCTGGAGTCTTCATGGGTGCATCTTAAAACTCCAAGCGTGCCATTCTTCTGTCCAAGTGAAAGAGAAAAGCCTTCTTTAAAGGGAGAGAGAGGATCAGCTCTCCAACCATGTTACCAAGCTCTCCCTCGCTCTCCATGCTTGAGTTTCGTGGATTAATTAGATGTGTATTCCCACCCCCTCATTTCAGGAGAAGCAGTACATCTAGCAAGAGATTTCGGTTACGTCTGTGAAACAGAATTTCCTGCCAAAGCAGTAGCTGAATTTCTCAACCGACAACATTCCGATCCAAACGAGCAAGTCACAAGAAAAAACATGCTACTAGCTACAAAGTAAGACATTTCTTGGGGAAGGGTTTGTTTTGTTGTTGGGAGACTAACTTCACTTCATTCATCTGCCTGAATGGTGGGCCGCAGTTTTTTGCTACACATGCAAAAATTTCTTCTGTAATACAGTAACGTATATTAAGAAGGTGCACTTGTTGTCAAGGTAAATACTGCACTGTTGACAACTGCTGAAACCAAATTAAGGAAGAATGAAAAGGACCCTCCCTTAAATCTACATGTTAAGGTTCGGTGGTGATTTCTAAAAGGATAATATTCCCCTGCCTCACCCCCCCCAAACTCCCCCAGATATTTCCCAGTTTATAAATTCAAGGAGGGATTTCTCATCTAGTAACAAGAAAGCAAAAATGACCCATTGTGCATGCACCTGATGACACTTACTTCTAAGTAAACATACACAGAAGGGTGTTGGGCTGCTGATTTTCCTGGGAGTAAATTCCATTTAATTCAATGGGGTTTACTTCTGAGCAGGCATGTAGAGGGTTGCAGTGTAACTTGGCTATAAGCAACACTGATCTCAGGGAAACTTAGTCTCCCAAATGAAAACTCATTGGAGAGAACTTCACAGTTAAGTTAGACTACTAGAATTTGCAACATGTCCCTATGTTTTCTGAGAGTTTGTTCAGTCACGGAATAAGAATATTAAAATGTATTTAAGATGCAAGTAGCTTAAGGTTTTGGGGAATTTTTTCTAAAAGGGGGGGATTTGGAGGAGGGTAGAAGTGAAAATTGACTGAACTTCCAGGTTGCTTGTGTGGTGGGCAAGAATCCTGATGGCTGTGAATGATGTGCTTGCTGGAAATTAAAAGTCTTGTTTACTAGCCCTTAACTACCCGTGACGATGTCACTAAAGGGCATGGAGCCAAACGAGACCAACCAGCTGAAAAAGGGGGGTAGTTGTATGGCTAGGAGATGTTTAACACTGGCTTTTGAGAAGCAAAAGAGTTCCAAGTTTTCTGCTATGTGTTGCTGTGTTGTTGCTCTGAGAGGGACCTCTGAGGAGAACCGTTTCTTTGTTCTGCCTTTTGGGCTATACCCAGAGAGTCTTCCACTTTGCTACTGACAGAGCAGCTCTTAACTTCTGCCCAAAAGGACAGTCCTTGGATGGACGGAATATTTATACAGTACAGCCCCTCCTCCTGATGTCCCGCCTTCCACTCCCCATAGGATGGAACTTTCCCTCCAAACCCATGACAGACAGGTAACATCAGTGCTGTTATGTAACAGTTGTATGGCTAGGAGATGTTTAACACTGGCTTTTGAGAAGCAAAAGAGTTCCAAGTTTTCTGCTATGTGTTGCTGTGTTGTTGCTCTGAGAGGGACTTCTGAGGAGAACTGTTTCTTTGTTCTGCCTTTTGGGCTATACTGTATCCAGAGAGTCTTCCACTTTGCTACTGCCAGAGCAGCTCTTAACTTCTGCCCAAAAGGACAGTCCTTGGATGGACGGAACTAGTGGGAGCTTCCAGCTAACAAATTTTCTTCTCTCCACTCATTCAATACCTAACTGTACTGATAACTGTTGTCGTCCTTGCTGGTAATAACTATATAAAAGTAATAATATAGAGTAGTTATAATTTCAATTTCTGTGCCACTTGCCATAATGAAAGCTAAATGATTTATCTAGGAAATTTTCTATTAGGAATGTAGGCTCACAGAAAATAAATTCCCCAAGCACCCTAAGCATTAGTTTGTATTGGTAAGATAGATCACATTAGAGAAGGCAAAAATCTTCAACACAAGTGCTGCTGATTTTTATGCCATTTGCTTTCTACGGAGGAGTAAGTGTTTTGATCATGTTATAAGCTAACTCTTGATTTAAACCCAGAAGCAGATTGGGGAGGCTCAGGAAAGGCAGGATATAGTTGAGTTATTTTTTGTTTTTTAATTATTTGGTTGGGGTACCTCTTTCTTTAGCCTCTCCTGCATCCAGAAAAGGAATTTTGTAGTAAAGAAAAATTGTATATTTGTGTGTGATTTTTTGGAAGTACTGTACTTGATGTATGTAAGGAGGATATACATGTGTGTATGAAAGGGATTGGTCAGTTGTGTAAAAAAGAGAGAGATGCTTCATGCATGAAAGGGATTGGTCAGTTGTGTAAAAAAAGAGAGAGATGCTGCATGGATGTGTGTGTGAGAGAGAGGGGGGAGGGAGGAGGGGGCTCCAGTGTTTGAAGTCAGTATGAATGACTAGATGGGGAATAGTTGGTAGAGAAGTTATATTTGACATTATGGAGCTGAGGTTGTTGAGGTAGTGTTATTTGTTGCTCTTTTAATTATAGTGTTCCACACAGTCCACTGTAACTTGATACTGTACTTAGGAGGACTTTCAGAGTAGTAGACTAGAAGACCAACCACACAAAGGAAGAGGAGTAGATTCAGGGTGTGATGGGGATGGAAGGTATGTGGAGGCACATAGGACAAGAGAGTTGTCCAGTTAAAAGTACTGGAAGATTTAAACATAAAGATCCCTTATAAGCTTGTGGTAGAAAGGGAGCATTGTTCATTATGTGTTGTGTGTGAGTGTTTGTATATAAGGACTCTGAGAGGATGTCTGCGAACCTTGATGGATGTCTTAGATGGGGCATCCTGGGGAGTGGATGATGGTGAAAATGCAAGAAAGGTTCTCTGTGTGTGTGTGCGTGCACGCGCGGTTGCATGCCTGCGCGCCCTTATAAGCTTGTGGTAGAAAGGGAGCATTGTTCATTATGTGTTGTGTGTGAGTGTTTGTATATAAGGACTCTGAGAGGATGTCTGCGAACCTTGATGGATGTCTTAGATGGGGCATCCTGGGGAGTGGATGATGGTGAAAATGCAAGAAAGGTTCTCTGTGTGTGTGTGCGTGCACGCGCGGTTGCATGCCTGCGCGCGTTCTCACGTGTGTGTGTGTGCGCGCGTGCACGCGCGGTTGCATGCCTGCTCGTTCTCACCCTGCATTCACTCCTTGGCTTGGTGGTTTGCTGACAAGGCTGGCTCATTCCTCCCCTCCCGTCTCTCCCCACCCCCCTTCCTTCTCTCTGCTCCATTTGTGCTGCAGACAGATCTGTAAGGAGTTCACCGACCTGCTGGCTCAGGACCGATCTCCCTTGGGGAACTCTCGGCCCACCCCCATTCTGGAGCCGGGCATCCAGAGCTGCCTGACCCACTTCAACCTCATCTCGCACGGCTTCGGCAGCCCTGCTGTGTGCGCCGCGGTCACCGCCCTGCAGAACTATCTCACCGAGGCACTCAAGGCCATGGACAAAATGTACCTCAGCAACAATCCTAACAGTCACACAGACAACAGCACCAAAAGCGTGGACAAAGAGGAGAAGCACAGAAAATGAGGATTTCCTTCCGCCTCCTCCCCCCTCTCTGCCCAACCATCAGGCCTGGCCCTCCATACATTTCTGTTTCAGACTCCCTCTTCGCCCTGGGGCTACAGCTGCAGAAGCTCAGAGATTTTTTTCTCTCCTAGCCTTTAGTAAGAATGGAACAAGGCAACCACCACCAACACCACCCCTGCCTCCACCGGCCCCGCTGCACCTCTCGCGCTTCCATCTCCCCTCCTCCTTCCTCCATTACTTCCCAGTTTAATTCCAGTTGCGGACCCATCCTGGAGCCTGAGAAAAACGAACAAGGAGATGGAGCCAAATTAGAGGGGGAAATTTATTTTTATTTTTATTTTTGGATCGTCTGAGTTTATGTGAACTTTTCATTTTTTTTTTACAAAAAGGAAAAAAAACAAATAAATGACAAAAAAATTTAAAAAACGAATAGAACTTTTTTTCTAAAAAAAGAGAAAGAACTGAAAATAAAGATTAAGAAATAATGAATTAAATATGGAGAAAAGTAATGAGCTTCATCGGACTAAATCACCACCTCCCCTTACACAAACTTCCGTTTAAGATTGTAGCCATATTTAAAAAAAGAGGCAAAAGGATGATGATGATGATGACATTTTATCAGTATTGTGAATAAACTTGAACACAAACCACATGCAGTTCCATGTCATGTCTTCAGTTTATAGAACCTCTCTCCTATCCAAGGTAAAGCCACCAATCTGAACTTTCTTACAGTGACACCAATTCACAGTTCTTCTATAAGGGGATCAGTGTTCATGTATGTATATATTTATTTATGTGTAATTTAATGGGAATTGTAAATATGGTGAGTCTGTTTGAAGCTTTTTTTTAATTTATCTGGTGATCTCGTTTACCTCTTGTTTAGTGGGTTTTTAAATCTTCCCTCTTCTTAGTTCCATCACTGTGGTTCATGGTTACTTATTTAGAAAACAGAGGGAGGGAGGGTCTTTTTTCGAGGGAGGGGGTGGTATTTCTTTTTCTGGGATTTATCAGCCCTATTGTAGCATGATTTTTTAAAAAAACACAACAATAAAACAGCAAAACAAAGAAAATAACTTGGATTTCTAAAATATATTGTTAGAATAACCATGGGTTTCTCATTGGTAAAGTGAGTGATGGGTTACATTCAACCAACACCACCTGACAGAATGGTGGCTGTTCTTCAAAAAGTGTTCCCTACCCACAAATGTTAGCAGTTTTTAACAGTCCCTGATGTGCTGACTTTTTCTTTAAAAAGGAAGGAGCAAAAAAAAAAAAAGTTTATATTCAGTATCTTTCTATAGAAAACATCAGCAATAAATTGATATGGTCTATTCAGATAAAGGATTAAGGATCTTCCCTCACCACCCCCTTCCCTCTTTTCATTTTGAGTTGTCTTTTGGCTCAAACAATCTCCATGCATTTGGGACCACCTGGTATCCTCTATTTCCACTGGCCATATTGGAAGCAGTTATAGTTGTATTGTATTGAGTTGTGCTGGCAGTACTTTCCATGCCTGTCAATGTATCATAGTCCTTTGTTGCCCAGATAAATAAATATTTGATACGCTTTATGTCGATTTTTTTTTATTCAGTGGCTGTCTTTACCCAGGCGTATTTTTGTTCTTGGCAGTATTTTTTATTCAGTATGGTTACAGTAATTGAGTTTAACTCTCCCTTGACAATTGCTCCTTGCAATAAGCAGCTGAACCCATTGTTTCCCTCAAGTATAATAAAAACTTACTTTCAAGTTGGAGTTCAGAGCAGGGTATCATTTAGATATTCCACTGAGTCTGTATTCAGACAAATTACACAATAAAACACAATGTACTCTTTTGGATTTTAAAAAAAAATGTACTGTTAAAGAAATAGCATACTTTTCTTTAACTGAAAGGTGATTTTATTTTTTAAAAATAAAGTTTTATTTTATTTATTTGATCTTTTAGGTTTTTATTCATGACTCATATTTATGCACCAGTTACCACTGACCTTAAATGTTTCTCATAATACTGTATCAATTTGCACTGCTTTCTAGTCCTTATTACCGTTTTGTGGAAAAGGGAGAGAGGTATATGTATCTTATTGAAATTATGTGCAAGTGTGCAAATGCTCACATACATCACACAGCTTTGAAACAGTTGTGTGTGTGCACACATACATGCATGAGTGGTTCTGTGCCTGTGTGTTATAATACTGATGTTGTGGTGTTCTGTGGGAGACCAATTTAAAGGTTTGCTACAGTTTTAGGATAGACATTTGACAATATATTTTTTCTGTGTGCATATAGAAAAGCATTGCATATTTTTATATATTTTCAGTATTTTGAGTGAGGGAAAATGAGAAAGACCTTATGTTCCAATAACAACAACAACAGTCAATGCATAAATATTGGATACAAAATATTTTTTATTCTTCTCATCTTAGCTGCAGTACATATTTCTAGAAACAAATTGGCTCGAAATGCACTTCTTTTTAAAATGCAATTACTCTGAATATTGCAGCTTTCTTGTGATGTTTTCTAGTGCAGAGCAGGCTTGTGCAAAGGTGGCTTTGGTAGAACTGAAACAGAGGGAAGACTTGAATACTGACCTTAACATATTTTCCCTGTGGAAGACTTTTTTTGTTGAAGTAGTGTGCATGCAAGGCTTATTTGGAATGCTCAACCTGAAGAGTCTGAGCAAAACATTGTGAAACTTAGTTCTAGCACAATCTAGTTGTCTCCAACATAATTGGTCCATCCTAGGTTCTGTTCAGTATTGCAAAACAGTTTAATATGTGATGGTATTTCTGAGTATGCAATGCCCTGTCTTGTGGAAGCTTTCTGTTTCTAAAACAGAAGTAAAAGAGTCTAGCTAGCTTGACACATTTTCTGTGAATATGCAAAGAAAATTAGGTGCTTCTGTGGTTTTAATGGTTGCAGGTGAAATGAATGCATGGGATAATGCATGAAATGTTCCATATTTTCTCCCCTCTTTAGTAATACAGTTAAGGAAAGCAGTGCAAAACCAGTGTAGCCAAGCAGAAAAGAGTTGGTAGAAAGTGGAATTCCTGTTTTACAATGAAAAAAGATTTATAAATTGGTGGGTAGTGGTGTTTGTGTGTGTGTAATTTTGAGAGAGAGAGAGAGAGATCTTCTGCATTTAAGTATGGCTTATTCATCTCCCTCCTGAAGATGTATTGGTTAACTGTAAAGTGGATGTAACAAAATAATGAGGTGAATGAACCCTAACTGTACACGCAGCCTTGACATAAATGAAATGCACAGCGTTGTAGCAGGTGAAGTGAAGCATTGTCTATCTGGGCTGTTTTCCTTGGCTGCATCACAGATTGTGTGGGGGATCCTAACCTCAGGCACAATGGCATTCATAAACAGCAATACACACACTGCTGCTCTTTCCCCAGCAATGCATAAATACTCATTTTAAATGAAAAACAATCTTATTAAATACCATTCATTCATATCTGGATTTACAGATGCTTGTTGCCTTTTTTAAAAATCTGCCTAATCATTTTAAACCATTAACTGGACAATATATAAAAACAAGCTTAACTATAGAATACAAGGAGGTTCTAATAATTTCAAGGAGATGAATAATATATTTTGAGTATAAAATACAAATTAAAACAAGAAATGCAATAAATAAAATCAAATATTTGCTATGTAGCACCTATTTAAGATGTTATCATAATTAGGGCCCTGCAACATGCTAACGTTAAATCAATGTTAACCACAGGTAACAGTTATACTCTTTGCAGTTATAGTATTAAAAGGTTATGTATCACATATAATTAACTAATTGATTTTAGAATACCACTTTTCTAAGGATGCAATCCAGGTTTAGTTAAAATCAATTAAAGCTTCACTTCATTTACCAATGTGACAACCCAATTCTAAGCACATTTACTTGGAAGTAAAATGCATTGGACCCAGTGGGTCTACTTTGAAAAAAATAATGGTAATTATTTCTGCTGACATTTTGTATTCAGTTAATAATTAGCTAATCTAATTATTAACTTACTAAAGTGAATAAGACTCAGCTCTAGCTTTTGTGGAACTTTAGTTGTTTGGTCCCCTAACTGAATATAATCCAGTTTCTTTGCATTATTTTTGGCACTACTTATTTCCAAGTAACCTGTTTAGAACTGTTGGGTTATAGCACAGTATGATTATGATGTAGTGTTTAGTCTATTCCATTTCAGAGAAATGAAATAAGATTAATGAAATACCTGTTTCTCATTATTGTTTTATTTTGAGATGGGTTTTTTTTTTAAAAAAAAATTAATACAGAAGATAATAAAAAGAAAATAATTGTAGTTTGGGGCTCATCTGCTGTGACCAAGGTGCAGTTACAAAATCATGCTAATTACTTTCCTATTCTTTTTGAAAGGCTGTCTTCTAAACATTGTAATCAATCTTTGTTTCAGCCTTTCAAATTCTAGGCTATGCTTTTGGCTGCTAACCCTAAAATATTCTTGCCCTTACAGATTAACTTGAAATTAGGATGAATGGTTAAATGTTAATGAGTTATAGCCTGGTCTCTTCATGCTATGCTAATTTATGCATTTTTTTAAAAATGTACCACAATACTCCTTCAAGCTGAATAGTTACCATCCTCCTCTGTAATAAATCATCATCTATCCCTCCCCCACCTCCAAAATCGAATATTAATATAATTTGAGATTTAACTGGTGGAACAGCCATCAGGACAGCCATGCCCTGCAGCTGAAATAATATTTAAAATAGAAGAGATTTGACATTTGATAAGTCAGTGGCTTGAAATACCCAGTTGTACTTAGCTAATTCAGTCCTTAACCTCTGGTTTCAAATAAATCAATTACAGTCGATTCCACTTCAGTTCAGAAGTGCATGAGGTTTTGAGTTAATTGAATACATTTTATTCACTTGTTAGAAATATTCATTTATCCAGATCCTTAAATACGAAGGAGATTTCTTTGTTTGTCCATGTTAAATTTAACTGCATAATCAGATCAAACCATTGCTTGTTTGTTTGGAGTCTTTCTAAATTCCATAATGGTTATCTTGTTTTCTCTCTAATGCACACACAGGCAAGCTACAATTTCTCCATATTTTACTTGAAACAACTGCAATGCCAGATTTAAGTTCCAACAAAATCAGAGAAACATATTCTAAATGTATGTGCTGAGGACCGAGGCTGGGAAATGTCTGTACAGCATGGAGGAGGTGGGCTTAGTTCTGTTTATCTGATTTGTTGAATGGGCTACTACTTCACTTGTGCTAAAAGCAAGGGCAGAGTAAATGTATATTTCACAAATTAACACCAGGAAAGGCA